CAGCACACACGAGACAGAGCAGAAATACCTTTTTTTTCAGAAAGGCAAATTCTTGGAGCAGAGAGGCTACATTTGCCTTGAACTATTTACCTGTATGTAGGCTCATATGCTCCAGAAGAGAATGCTTTGTTGTTAGAGCCTTACTGCAGACAGTGCACGTGTATGGCCGTTCCCCAGTGTGCATCCGCTCATGGACCTGAAGAGAATGCTTCTGGGAAAAGCCTTTGCCACACTCACTGCACTTAAAAGGGCGCTCTCCTGAAAGCAAAAGATGACATTTTTAGGTATAGATGCATTATTTCTCACTCGATATTCTAAGCTGACAGTGAGATGCATTGCAATGTAGTAGCTACAAAAAAATTACTCCTGAGTAGTGGTGAGAAGAATTGAGACAAGCTTCACATACCAATAATTCTTTAACTATTGCCATATAATTCAGTCTTTGAACAGCAAAATTATTAACTAAACTGCAATCAAGATGAGACATAAAGACCCTGAGATCTGCTGCCAAGAATAAAACAGCGAACACAGGAGACACACCAGAATTTGGACCAGCATGCTATTTTGGATAGCTCTTGCTCTAGAAAACAGCCAACATTTCAACTACTTGCTCGCATTTAGCACCATCACTAAACCCTAATCCAAAAACAGCAGTCTTTTAATGCCTACCTGTATGACTTCGCTGGTGAATAGCTAAGAAGTGATTATACTTAAATACTTTGCCACAGTCTTTACAGCGAGCTTCAGAGCCCACACGTCTTCTTTTTCCATCGTTTCTCTTTGCCAGTCCTTTTTCATCCTCATCCCCGAGAAGTTTATAATCCTTTAGTTTGATTGATCTCCTTATTCTACGTTTGCTGTAACGGCTCTGAGTGCTCTGTATTCCTTCAGATTTGGGATCATAGTTTTCATCTTTCTCAGCTGACAGATCAACAGCAGCCTCTGAGCCACAAGCAAGTTCAGTTTCTTCTCCATCTTTCCTCACTGGAGCCTGTTCACTGGCGACTGCTTCTGCTGCAGTGTCTTTTTTCACAAAATTTTGCTTATTTTGCATGGAGTTGTTCTCTCTCAGCTGCACATCTTCGGCAGAATTTGCTCCTGATTCTTCTTCTTCTTGGACAACTTTGATTTTCCTCGGTCGCCCTCGTTTTCGCTTTGGTGGATCTTCATTTTTGTTGTCACTTGCAACAACAGCTACAGAGGCTCCACTGTTTGCTGGAGCTGGCAACGCATTACCTGGGCTACAGCTGGCCAGGTAGTCTGTACAGACCCATACCAAGTCAGTCACTTTCAGCAGCTGTGCAGTAGCCAGGATTTGTTCTGTGCTTTTCTCACTGGCACAGAGGCAACCAGTGTAGATAAATTCTAGCAGAACTGCAAAGATGTCTGCAACCATTCCCTCCAACACGTAAACTGACTGTCCTATTTCACCCTCATTTACAAACATCATTGAGAAGTATTCACTGCTGGCAGCCAGCAAGGCTTTATGGGCTCTGAATTGCACATTCTCCACTATCAAAGTAATGTCACAAAGAAAATCCTTTTTCCTCTGTTCTTCAAAATTAGCTAAAATGGTATCTTTGTGAGCTTTGGAGTGGATGATGACCAGTTTCTCAGAACCATCAGGAGTTGCTTTTGCCATTTTATTTACAAATATAAAGGAGGTGCCTACAAAAACAGAATGATTTTAATAAATAATTATTATTGTAAGACACCAAATATCATCTGCTTTACCAGTAACAGAGTTCAAGAATTTCTGAAGCAATTCTGAATCCTCTGAACTTTTGAAAAATAAACACTATTGCTGACACGGACTTTCTTCAAAAAGTGTTTTTAAATCCCATGGAATGGCTACAGATAGTTTCTTTGATCAGAATCACTGCCTATCATTTGTTTATCTCTGATGTACTGAGAACTCTGTATTATCTAAAAAAATTGCGACCCATTCTGAAATCTCCTTTCCTAACTAAAATAATTGGACAAAAAGAATTGTTTGTTCGTGGCTCCTTAGTAGAGTACTGGTTTTGCATGGCAAATTTTGTTAGTGGGGCAGCTACAGGGGTGGCTTCTGTTAGGAGCTGTTAGAAGCTTCCTCCATGTCCTACAGAGACACCACTACCTGGATCCAGGACCCACCAGCTGCTGGCCGAGGCTGAGCTCATCAGAAACAGTGGTAATGCCTCTGGGATAACAGATTTAAGAAGGGTGAAAAATACCTCCACAACTGAGCTAGAGAGAGGAGTGAGAAACAGCCCTGCAGACACCAAGGTCAGTGAAGGAGGGGGAGGAGGTGTTCTAGGCGCTGGAGCAGAGGTTCCCCTGCAGCCCATGGTGCAGATCATGGTGAAGCAGACTGTCCCCCTGCAGCCCATGGAAAATCCCATGCCACAGCAGGTGGATGCCCAAAGCAGGCTGGGACCATTTGGGAAGCCCTGCTGGAGCAGGCTCCTGGCAGGACTTGTAGTCCTTTAGAGAGAGAAGGCTACACTGGAGCAAATTAGCTGGCAGGACTTGTGACCTCGTGGGGGACCCACGCTGGAGCAGCCTGTTCCTGAAGGACTGCATCCCTGGAAGGGACCCACACTGGAGCAGTTTGTGAAGAACTGTAGCCTGTGGGAAGGACTCACTTTGCAGAAGTTTGTGGAGGACCGTTTCCTGTGGGAAGGACCCCATGCTGGAGCAGAAGAAGAATGTACGGAGTCCTCTCACTGCAGAGGAAGCAGTGGCAGAGACAATGTGTGATGAACTGACCACAGCCCCCATTCCCTATCCCCTTGCACCACTAAAGGGGGATAAGGCAGAGAAAAGCATGAGTAAAGCTAAGCCTGGAAAGAAGGGAGGAGTGGGGTGACCACCTGTTTTAAGATTTGGTTTTATTTTTCATTATCTTGCTCTGATTTCATTGATTTCCCCAAAGTCAAGTGTGTTTTGCCTGTGATGGTAATTGTTGACTCATTTCTCCCTGTCCTTATCTTGACTCATGAGCTTTTTATTATATTCTTTGTCCCTAGTCCAGCTCAGGATGGGAGTGATGGAGTGGCTTTGGTGGGCACCTGGCATCAACCCAGTGTCAACCCACCACATTGGAAACAAAAAAGGTCAACTGCAGTTTTATCATTGCAGATTATTCAGGGATAAGGCTATGAAATCCTGTAATTGATGATAAAACTTCACTGGTATCAGTATGGCAGAACTTCATGACTTCTTTTATCCACTTATATAATTCAGAAAGTTTCTTTTTCATAACACTCTACTTACTAAGCTTCAGCCTATGGAGGTAGGCAATAAAAGCAGAAAAACAGCACCACTTTAAAGCACTCTGTCTAAAATAGGGTTGATTATGGTAATTATTAACCACCAGTTTGACTTGCTAAGAATTGTAAATTTGCAAAAATTAATAACAAACAAAAAAAATCCAAAAATTTCAGAAGAGTCCACCAAACATTATTATGGAAGAGATGTGCCCAAAATGTCCAATTTACAAGGCTCAGCTGAGCCAAAGATAAAACAGATTAGCTACCTGCCATCTTAATTTATACAAGTGGCATATCAAACACAAAAAAAATTGCATATTTGTATCTAGTGAGTGCAGTAGTTTCAATCACCTGAACAAATGCTGTATGAATCAACATAACACTACCTACAGATGATACCTAAATGCTACTGTGGTGGTGAAAAAGTGATTCTTTAGCCCAAATCATCTACCAAACAGTTCATGGTGGAGTCAAATTGTTTTATCTGGGCTGGGAGCTTTAATTTCCGGAGGATGTGAGCCTGATGTTTGTTGCTGGGACACCTGAAAGCACAGCTGCAGGTGTGATCCAACTCTGCCTTCCCCTGCATTCCAAGAACTCCCGAAGAGCTGCTGCCAACCCTGCCTGCAGGCATCCCCTGACACCCACACGTCTCAGACGGGACAGTGGGTGTTTTTTGGCTTTTGATCACATCAAAGACTTTGGCGTTTAATCAGGAGGTGACATCATTAGTATTTTGACCGCAAAATCCAAAACACCCGCCTGCCTTTCCTAAAAAGCCCTAACAATTTTAGAGTGAGACTGTGCACAAGCGGAAGGCCCCGTTCCAGGCGTGGAAGGGCTCAGGAGCTCCCGGGAGTGACCCCGGGGCGCAGCGCATGGGGATGGATCCCGACACCGGCACGGCCAAGGACACCGCGCGGGAATCGCCCGAACAGCCTCGGCGGGAGCTGGGCCGGGAGGGCACTGGCGGCACCGCAAGCGCCGCCTCCCGCGCCCGTGTGAGCCCCGAGACTCGCTCCGTAGGTTCGGGCCGCCCCCCGGGAAGGCCGCTCGTCCCTCTGCGGGGCCGGAGCAAGGAGCGGGCGCTGTCCCCCGAGAGCCGCAGGCCCAGGCTCCCCCAGCACGGCCGCCGCCCGCCCTGCCCGGCACTCACCCGGTCCCCACCCCGCACTCACGGCTCGGCCGCAGCCCCGCCGCTCCGCCGCCGCACTTCCGGCACGGGCGGGGCCGGGCCGGGGCTGGAGCCGCGCGTGCGCTGCCGCAATGAGCGATACACGAGGCGGGACTTGGAGTCGCGGAATCACAGAACGTCCTGAGCTGGAAGGGATACGTGGGGTCGTCCTCTTCCAGCTCCTGGCCCTGCGCACGACAGCTGCAGGGATCACACCATGTGCCTGAGAGCGTTGTCCGAAGGCGTCTTGAACTCCGTCAGGCTTGGTGCTGTGGCCACTTCCCTGGGGGGGGCCTGTTCCAGTGCCCAACCACCCTCTGGATGAAGAACCTTTTCGTAATATCTAATCTAAACCTCTCCTGACACAACTTCAGGCCGTTCCCTGTCACTGGTCGTGTCACTGGTCACCAGAGAGATCAGTGTCTGCCTCTCCACTTCCCCTCAAGGAAGCTGTAGACTGTCTCCCCTCAGTCTCCTCCAGGCAACCTCAGTCGCTCTCCATACGGCTTCCCCTCAAGGCCCTTCACCATCTTTTCAGCCCTCCTTTGGACGCTCTCTAATAGCTGAACATCTTTCAACTTCAGACAAAAGATTTTATTTCTAAGATTTTGTGATTAAGAAACTGGTCCGAGAAGGTGTGACGTTGTTCACGGGCCACGTTGCAGCCATGCTGGTGGCTCACGGCAACGCTCCATGTGTTAATCCATGGAAATTGGAGGGGGAAAACAGCCCACACTACACAAAACTGGGACGCATGTCTTTCAGGGAAAAGAAAGTCTGCACCTTGTCGTCAAGGCCAAGGGGCCGATCTCTTGGTTCCCGGTATGGGCCTGCCATGGCAGTCCCCAGGTAGGGTATGAGCTGGCAGTGCTTCAAGAACTGCACCAGCTTCTTCCTGTACATTTGTCGCACTGTCTCCAAGCTCCGGGGGTTGTATGCTGCAAGAAGTTAAACAGCATGTTAGTGTCCCCTGTCAACTTTGTGGAATTACATTATAGAAATTTTCAAAGGGACCAAGTCTACCCCTGATGATGTTACCTGTGGTACAGATAAACCTTCCATGGGCTGTGCCCATTGGTGCCAAACCAAAAGATCAAGACTGGTGTTTCAGAAAGTTCCTGACTCCAAAGGGTAATGATACTTGGAAAGATCAGGCTTTTGTAAACAAAGACACAACAAACATGCTCAGCTGCTGTCAACTTCCCATTCCTCAGGGTGTGAGGTGCTGGTGTAACTCCAGGAAATGACAAATTTGGGTAGCGCAGCAGATACCCTGAAGTGGAGCAGCCTGGGGATAGCCCAGGCCTGGTGTGGCTGGCACCAGGCCACTGTGTCCTTGGCACAGCTGTTCTATGACCTAAATGCTTTGCCTATATAAAGTGAAGAGCTGATCAACAGTGTAGAGGAGGGAGGGTTTCTCTCTGCCCTAAGCCCTATTTTACATTAGTATTGAGTGCCAATCCTCAGAGTACACTATTGTTTTAATTGTTACCCTGCAGCAAAGGGGAAGAAGTGACAGCCAAATCATAACCAGTTTTTTCCTGTGGACATTACTTTATATCTCATTATAAAAACTGGACAGCATGAAGAACTATACTATGAGACGCTTTAAATTGCAGACTACTGCATTTAACAGCTTCTGAGAGATTTTTCAAGCATAGCTGCATGTAGAGCTCTTCCAGGAGTCAAGCTTGAAGGGCACTCCACCACTCTAGTGATGTATGGTTTAACACTTTTCTCAGAAGTAAATCTCTCTGCATTTATGGTTGATACCTGTACCTTCTCAGATACTGAAAGCAATCCAGTGTTGTTGTGAGAAAAGCTGAAGGAGCAACTAAACCATTGTTTCTTGTCCCCTATTTAAATGTGAGATTAGAGAGTGACATAAATTGAAGATAAGAAAGTCTTACTTTAGACAGAAATAGGATGAAATAAATTTCCAGGGGACCACAACGTGAAGCACTTCGATCAAATTTTGATCAAGGATGGCACGACTACTTTGAAGAGATGCACAATAATAAACAATGCAATATTTGCAACAATCACAGAATAGGTCAGGCTGGGAGGTACCACAATGAGTCATCAGGTGCAACCTCCCTGCTCAAGCAGGGTCATCCTAGAGCACATGGCACAAGATTGTATCCAGGAGGTTCTTGAGTATCTCCAGTGAGGGAGACTCCACAGCTTCCCTGAGCAACCTGTTCAGTGCACAGTCACCTACACAGTAAAGACGTTCTTCTTCATGTTCAGGCGACTTGTCAGCGTACAGGAATGCTGTATCTTAAAGTTGGAAGCAGTTCTACCTGGTGTTAGAAGAAGATAACTTGTTTTCCTGGATTCCTATGGTCAAACTGTTTAGCACTGCATGAGAGAAGAGATTTGTGCACTTGCATAACCTTTCTGGTTCATCGTGCAGTGCTAATAATGATTTATTGTTGCAATATTTGAGCAAAGCATTTCCTAGAGTCGGCATTGTTGCGTTAGCAAAGCTGTTCTAACAATAGGATGAAAACAGCCTTTGTGGATGGAACAAACTACTAGGATAAATGCAGTTTGGCATCTTAAGAACTGTACATTTATGCACATTTACCATGTGCCTACCCTGTTGAGTGGTTTTCCTTAACAAAGCTATGCTAGTAAAAAAATTTGTGATAGTTCAAGAAGATTCTGGAGGGCTCTGGAAACTGCATGAGGAAACACAGGATGTGAAGAACTTTTAACAAATAATAAAGATTGGTATTATCTAAAAGAATAAGGAAAAATGTAAAATACAAAAGACAAGGTAAAGTACACCCACTGAACAGGTTGACTTCTATAAGACAAGACTGGTGAGTTGAAAGAAATGTCAGTCTTGCTCCAGAAATCTCCAGCAGTACTGGAAAGCAGACCAAAGCTACAGCAGAGCTACAAACAAGGATGCTGAAATCGAGAAAGCTGGCACCATTTATGCTGATTGTAAACTATTAAAGATTATTATCTGTAACTGGTATCTTGAATTAAAAAAAACCCCAAAATTCTAAAAAACAGCAACTATGAACACGGAAGATGAAACTAGAGCAACTTTCCTCAGTGCAGGAGTAGTCCTAACCTCTGGTAGCTCTGTGAGAAGTTTTACTTTTTCCTTATCTTGTGGGCTGAGTAGAAACACCTAATTTTAATTTTGGACTGTTTATCTTTGTTACGGAAAAGTAAGGTCAATTGGACTATCAATTAAATTAAGAAGTCAAAAATAATCAACATATTACTCTGAATCACATTAATATTGAGATCTTCCCAGATAATTTCACAAATAAACAGACTGATAAACAGTATTTCATTTCTCTGCTAAAAACTTAAAAATCATAATGTTGTCTTCAGGGTATCTGCAAGGCAAGGTTTCTTACTAAGTTTTATTTGGCCACATGATGCCGTTGAAAAAAGGCTAGCATTCAGGCACCTAAACTATGCCTCAGATAGTATTTCAGCAGCCTTTTGACACAGTAATGTAAGTCAATTTTAAAGACAATTCAGGTTGTCTATGACTAGTTTAAAATTTATTACTACCTGAAATGTATCATTTCACTTCCTGTTTGAAAACTCCAACAATTCCTGTTAGAAATGTTTTCAAGGCCATCACGTTGTTGGTAATAAAGCATTATTAAAGTCTCATTATTTCTGAGAGATCACTTACCTATCTACCTATTCTGTTAACCTTACTTTCCTCCCTGGTCCTTACACATTTCCAAGAAACTTAGATCAGTATATAATAGTGTTTTTCCATGTTGGACATAAGAAAACCACACCAATTAGCTATAAATGTTGTATCAGATTATTTATATAATTTTTATATTTAATTATTTTTATAGCATATTATTTTATACACTACCTTTTAAATGGAAGGAGACAAACAGCAGAGCAGTTTCTTTTACACTTAGGAATGGAAATTTTGGCTTAAGGCTGCCTACTTCATGCAGAGCTTTTATTAGAGAAGTTGCTACTCCCTAAAGGAAGAAAACAGTTTTAGAAAACCATTATAGAAATCTTGAACAAAAATATATTCAAAGCCTTATCATGTTGTCATGCAGACCTAACAATATAGGATGATACCCTAAGTTGGTAAAGAGTAGAAGATAACAAATAGTATAAAATAGTATAAAATATGAATCATTTTTTTATTTATTCATGTGTCAAAATGTAACAAACTATCCTTAGATGATTCCAGATAAGCTTGTGTCTATTCTAGTGTTAAAAATCAAACAAAAATGTAATGTTACATGATATCATAAAAAACTAAGTAAGAAAATCCATCATATAATACTGCAGTTTATTATCCCCCTCTGATGGACTTACTTGTATTTTTTCCCTTAAAACTACAAATATCTATTATTTTAAAGCTTTTAAAAATTCCTCTCAATCATAAGTATATTAAATTTTCAATTTAATATAATCCCATTGATAAACATAAGACTCATATTGCCTTAAAAATTAAGTAAACTGAGTAGGACATACTACACATCACAAAATCATGTTTTAAAATAGAAAAGCAAAAACTGGCCTGTTCAAGGTATCCAGCCAAAGGAAGTGCAGTTAGTAGCATTGGCTCCTTTTTTGGAGGGAGTTTATGGGGAAGTTTCAGATTCCAGTACTTCTCTGGTAACCTAACCAGATAAAAAGTAAGCACTTCTAACGTGTATAAACTGTGACATGATTGAAGATTAAAATGCAGTTGGTATATTCACCTCATAAACTTCTGAAGTTTTTCTTCACTTTCAAAAATATATACTTTATCTTGGTATTTTGCTGCATACTCAATATTGCCAGGCACCAAGGCTTCATATCTGAAGAGATGAAGCAAGAACATCTATTCATTCCCAGGAAATGTAAAACATAATTTGTGCGGTGTAAATTCACGAGTTATTGGGAGCCTTCTGATTATTAACAAGTATAGAAACACCAAAAAAGTAGCACTTGGATTGTCCAACTTTCCACTACATGACTGACAGTTACAAGGCTCAAAATCTGAGAAAGCCTCTGCCTCAAAATTTGCTTATTAAGGAACTTTTACAGTGCTTCTTTAGAGCTACTTCATTTAAAATGCCAATCATGGTTGTTCAGGAGATTAAGAAGGGATAGCATAGAATTGCTTAGTACGGTTCTATTCTGATGAGAAATTCTTGCACACTGAGGAAGTCAGTGGGACTTTATACTGGAGCTTTATGGATCTCTTACAAAAATAATAGCTTGTTTTGCATCTACTAGGATGTTATGAGATTTCTTTGAACCATGGAAGGCTCATGATAGAGAGAATTCTGTCCATCATCATCATGAAAGACAGCAAGGCAATACAGATCCTTGTAGAACCATATAAGTTTTAAAAGGTGATTTTATATTGATTTCCAAAGCCACAGGCACAATATAGAGAATTGTAATCACTTCCCGTCCAAACCCTAAACACTATTGAAAAGTATTTTGAAAGTGTTTTCTCATTAATGTGTTAATATAGGACAGACAGTCTGTAATTCAGATTATGAAAACTCCAGTGACCTACCTCTGTTTTCCATCTAGGTAAGTGACTGGACAGTATCCCTGCATTTCAGCCCTTAGAGGGAATGAGGCCTTCACTTCTGCCACAGTCAGTTTCTTTGGTAGCATATGGGGGGGTGGGAGAGGGTGAGGTGCCAGTGATGACACATAAATCTCTGGTGTGATCAAGAATTTCTGTAGAAAAGGAAACATCTTTATAATGAAAGAAGCACTGTAAGACTGTTAGTCAAACTACAGAAGCCTGGCTCACACAGTTTAGATACTTAGTTCTTCTACAACACAACAGTGTGTTGGCACTGCTGCTGCTTTTGGATAAGTAATTTCTTTTACAACCCACTCTCAGTTAAGTCAACACTATCCACCCACCATCCATCAATATCCATTGCTATCATTAGCCACTCTCTACACCCACTCTCCCTAAAACAGGTAGAGAAAGGAGGAAATTAGTGGTTCAAAACTAACGTTTGATCTGTGGCAAGTTGTAAGAGGAGCTTTGGTTTAATGGACTCTGTGCTGCATTTTGTGTACCTAGATGTTTGATAGCAGAAGTATACAGAACAAAAGCTTGAATACTAAGAAGAGCGGTCTAATTCAGGTTGCATATTAGTTATTTCTGTATTGAATCAAAGAATCTAAACAACAATGTTCCCCCTTCCCATAATCCCCTCCCGATGTGCTTTTTGACACTTACATCCAGTTCTTCCTGTGAAGCCATTTTGTAATAGCGCCCTTCAAATTCCGCAGCAAACTGCAATGAGGAGATTACAGAGCAGTCGACCAATTCACCCTTCTCTGCAAGGCTGACGGGACAGTAATGTCCAAACTCCCCCAGCCGCTCCTGCAGCTCTTTGGAAGTGATACATAAATCAGCAATGCTGGCAGCTTTTCCTGTTAGTAAAAGCAATTAATGATAATGTTTTATTTATGAAAGACATACAAACATCAAACAATTCTACTCAGAAATGTTACAGTTTAGAGGGTAATTCATAATTTGAAAGTGATATGAAATAATGAGAACTAAAATAGCAATTTTTAATAGATTGATAATAAAATGAAATTGCAACTCATTTTACCAATTAATTTTAATGACATTTTTGTAGCAGTTAAGAAATATAATAATTATTAATGATGTAGGCTATTCTGCATGCTCAACTTATTAGTCTACTTTCCCTGGGATGGGTTTATTTATGATTTATTGCTTTACTCCTCTGTGTTACTAAGGAACATTTCAGCTATTATTTTATTTCATTACATTAGTGAAAAAGAGTACAAGGTGTGATGAAAGCCTCCCCTTTATTCATCCACATCTTGCAAATGCTACAGTCTATCTGCATGAAATATATTCAAAATCTTTAATGTCATCTCAAACCCAAGCTGTTTAAAAATTGTACTTTTCAAGCTTGACATGAAAAAAGTTAAATGTATTTTAGTATTTTTGATTATGGCTCTGGTTTTTAAGAAGGGTGCAGCCACAGAGCTGTAAAAGTTGAAACCAAAAGGTGGATATCAGATAAGGAAGTCTGTTTGCCCTTCAGAGGAATTCTAGTTCAATAGTACAGACATGTTTAAAAGGCATATTTAATCCTGACCAAGGCTGACATACAAAAAATCAAGCGGGAACTGTGTCATTTTAGACTAAAGTAGTTTTCTTCCCAAAGCACAGAAATTAACTCAGATGGCATATTTAAGCTTAATTCTGAACTTTTAATTAACATCTTCCCTCTCCTACCCTCTTACTCTACTAATACTAAAGTGAAGTTGCCAGTCATAGTTCCCCTTGGATACTTTGGGAAAGCCTTTGTGGTTTATTCCCCAGTGTTGCAGAATCTACCATGGACTCTGACTTCTTCCAGCATATTTCTGTTACTCTGTTGTTTGGAGGATGGCCTCAGACTACTCAGTAGTTGGTTTTGTCTTCACTTTCTTCAAGAGATCTCTTCAAGATCTCTGCAGATGAGATTGAAGAATTTGAGGGTATCTACGTGCCCAAGAATTAGCTTCATCCAAAGAAAGCTGAAATGCCCATATTACAGTATTACAATGGGAATGTAATGGGAATGCCCATATTACTCTGGGAAAGTTTGTTTTTCTTTTACCTTCTCTTATTCTTTCCAGGTATATCTGTATTTGTTTAACAACCACTTGAACTTCCTGTGTAACTTTGTTCCAGATCTTCCACTTGCTCTGAACAGCATCAATCACACACCAGTTCTGACGCTCCTTCATATAGTAAGTCCTAATTGCATCAATGTGCTGTTTATAGCAGGAATTTTTAATGGCTAGAATCTGTGAGCTGTCATGTTCAGGATAGGGAGGGCTGAAGACAATGAAAAATAACACTCATTTACATCTGAGGATTAGATAATTTCATTGAATTTCAAGTGTAAATTCTAGAGTTCACTTTAAGTTCTTTTTACAGAATTCGGCTTGCTTGACACTGTAGGAAGTACAAATTTCTTATTAAGAATATTACCAAGTACATGTGAAAAAGAGCATACTTATGATTAGATAGATAGTCATGTTCAGAAACAAAGAACAAAACCTTTTCTACTTATGTTCCAAATACAACTCAAAAATTATTTTGTAAAGTATTTGGAATGTATCAGCACATATTAACTGACACACACCATAGATATACTATTAAATGGCACCCTGATATTGCACATTTGATTTGTATTTAAGCCTATGAAATATAATTAGTTTAAAGTTAAAATGAAGTTTAAAGTAAATACTTTCAAAAAGTCATCATTAATTTAATTTTTTTGCAATGCAAATTCTCTTTAGTCTCTCGGTAAACAATTTAGCATTGTACTGATTACTTGATAAAAAGAAAGAGACAAAATGAAAGAGATATGCAATAATGCTCCAAGCTATCTGGAACTTCTTAGAAACACTTTGTCTAATGAGAACCAGGTTCTTATACAATTTAATTTTAAGGTGAATGTTCTGTTCTTTTTCATTCTCTGTTTACTGTTCTTCCTCAAAAACAACCAGCAGCTCTTTAAACAGAGTATTTACCTCCTCAGAAAAACAAAGGGGAGTGAGCTGAATTGAAAGGTTTAGATGAATAACTCATGAATTCTGTATGTTACTAAACTATGCATTATTTCCATATTTTAAAAAGAACTATAATTAAGACTTAAAAGACAGCTTATTAGATGAAGTATCAATTTCTCTTACAATGATAATAATTGAATTAAATTGCAAAATAAACTTCAGCAGCAGAGAGAACTGGTAACATTTCTGACATACAGTCTCATTAAACCAGTTTAACTCAGCAGTGGGTGAACAGCATTGCACATTTGTGACCTCAGTCACAAATCGAGGGATCTGGCCAGAGCATGCCACAAATACCTGATGTCTCCGTTTCTGGTCTGTGGAAATCAAAGCACTAGCACACAGAGGGACTAGTTCCCATGTCTTTTCATGTGTGGAGTTCAGAGACAGCTGAGTAATGCTCCAGCTTAGATACAGCCTCTCTGGGTACAGCACTGAGGCACATAATTAGAGAAATTACCATATCTTGTAGAAAAAAGTATTTCTATCAGAGAGCATCACTACCTCTTTGTGCTTTCCTTATCCAACAGTGCTCTTCTGAACACTTCCTTTGTATCCATTTCTAATTCAAAGATTTTCACTGGAATTATCTTCACTGATTCCAAGAGGTTGACTTGTTTTCTTGTTAGAGGATATCCATCAATTACAACTCTGCATACAAACAGGAACAGAAAAAGTTTTCCTAAAAAGTGAGTTTCTAGTCAACCAGTAAGACTATTTATATTCCTAGTACATTCTCCATAAAGACAAAGTCTACACCCATGCCATGAAGTTATCACTGTTCTGACTTGATAGACACAATCTTCACTCCTAAGAATTTAAAATCAGATTAAAAAAATCAAGTAGGTAGAATATAAAATAGTAAAGGGAAAAGAAAATGCACAAAGGGTAAAAGGTAAGTGGAGGGCTGTGACTTGAATAGTGGTGGATTTTAAAATTCTGACACATCAATCATTCAGAAACATCATTTTAACTATGAGAAATCTCCATATGGATTGGAAGGAGCAGTTTTCAAAGTGATAAGTAAAATGATTTACTACTGTATTTGAAGAATTTTTAAAATCATATTGAAGAAGAAATGCTTTTCACATATTAGGCAATACTGGAACAAAATATACTGAAACAATATTCCAGTATTTAACATGAAAGAAAAGTTGAAAGAATTCTATCTCAAGCTCAAATAGTTTTCAGAGATTATTCCAGAATTGCCTTTCCCTGTAACAATTCTTTTTGGGGAGAGGAGTTGAATGTCATGAAATCATGATCGTAAAGCTCTTTAAGTCTGCCTAGTTTTGAAGGTGTTTCAGTGACGGAGAAAGAGCCTAGGAAATCAGGATCACATATGAATGAGGTGGAAAAACTCACTGGTTTCAATTCCTCCTTCATAACTGGTTGTTAAGAAAACCAGAAAAAAAACTTGAATACTGAACCAGTCTGCATGATCAAAGGGAATCCAATGTGTCCAAGTTGGTTCTGGAGTTGGTATAAGAGAGACAAAATGGTATTCTCAAAGGACAGTAGAAAATATTGGCTTATTGACTGAAAAAAAGGTAACTTTCATAAAGCATATTACCTGGATTGACTGGAATATACTTACTTGAAAATTGCAGAAAATTATGCTTCAGTTTCATTTCCCAGAGTAGTGTGAAGGACCTTTTTTTACAGATTATTTTCTTAATGCAGAAACCAGTTATGTGTTATAATGAAATTGTTTTACAGTGATAACATGGGAATCCATGCCTATGAAGGGACTGGCATGTCTTGAAGAAACCCCCCAAATGCAGACAAGACTCTTACCCGGTGATGCTACACATGGGGTTTAGCAGAGCCACATCTAGAGCCTGGATGGCCAGTTCATCAGGTACAGTCAGTCCTTTATGAAGGTGCTCCTTTATCTTAAGTGCCAAGTCACTCTCTGGCTGGCTGTCTATCACCAGCCGTATGGCGTCTCCCATGCACAGGCGCAGCAATCCATACACACTGGCAAGCTTCTGAGCAACTGCAAAACATTTTCATTTCAACTCACCACTTTTAACGTAAGCAACAACACAATCTGGCAGCCTATTGAAGTATGTCCTTGGTCTCAGAAGCTAACTGCTCAGCTCATTTCCCCGGGTCATTTCCACTGCATGATCTTGGTAAGTGTGTACCTTACCCCGCTAAGGCCCCTGTAGGGCCCAGACCGTGCATGTGTACATAGCACACTCAGTGCACTTATGCTGTTCAAGTCAGCAAAAACCTCAGGAGCAATAGTCAATATTATTATAAAATGTCTTAGAAAATATGCTTCCACTGCTGCCCCTTTTACAGAACAGCCCAGCAGTAAGATCACTTATTCAGAAAATGGGAAATATGGTTAAAATTTCCTCCTAAATATAATTTGAACCTGTCTCTTCTTTTTCTAACATCCTATTATAATCGTTAAAATATAATCATATGGTACAAGATGAATTTTCTCCTCCTCCAGTAAAAGGCAGAGAAGTGGATTGACAGAGTCATGGAGGAGAGAGAGGAGAGAAAGATGGAAATCTTGGGGTTTTTTTAATCTACAAATTTGGAAATAGACTGGGGAATGGGGAGTATCTGACTATCAAATGAGACACTAGAGAATGTAACTAAAGGAATTTATGCCCAGCAAGAAGAGCAGGAAGACCAACAATATTAATGGTTTATGATTTTTCAATAGTAATGACAGATACAGCTTCAGTTCATTAAATAAGATTTTGCTGTACAGATAACTGGCCCATACCTGTAGTCTTTCCAGATTTTGGAGGTCCCACAATTGCAATCTTCACTGGTGCAGCCGGTTTAGGTTTTGGCTGACGAATATATTTGATGGGATTTGTCATAAATGTTTCTTTATTTTCTTTACTTGAAAAAAAATAAATATATTGTCGATGGATTACAGGAAAGACTTCATTTCCATGGCTTTGGTGAGGCCTGATTACATCTCCTTTGCTTAGCTGTAGTGTACACAAAATGGGAATTAATTCATTAGGTTTGACAAAATCTCTTCTCCCTCCATCCCAGAGAAGTGGCTTTGTAGGCAGGTGGAGAAGTACCAACCATAGGAAACAAACCATCAAAGCATTCTGAAATTCATACATATGGACATAATATTTTGTCCAAGTCTGAGAAAATTCCCTACATATGCAATTATTGTACAAAAAGATGAAATAAACAATGAAGACAGAAAGAATACTCACTATTTCCAGTAGGTGGTACTGTAACACTTTATGTCCATCAAAATACTGGTCAGAAAGGATTAACATAATACCTTTTCTGATTTTCAGAGAATAAAGAAAATAATTTTATTCCTCAGTGAATTAAACTTGCTTACCTGCCTGACGGTAGAAGATACACTGAGAATATTGTATGTACAAATGAAGAAAATGTAAAAGGATATCAATAGTTACATTATGGTCAAGTGTAAAACCACAGCAAGTAAGCCAAAAAAGTTTTTGGTAAAATACATGCACCACTGATTAAATGTTTTCAAACACATTAGACAGCCCACTAGAAAGTCTGTAGTGTTGATGGATCATTGTCAGAAATGGTCATTGCAGTAATGCTAAATGAATTTGTTGCACCACTGTTCTCTGTAGAAGAACTTAGTCATGTCCCTGCTGCAGCCCTTCTTGGAGGAACTGCCTTAAAGTGTCAATAAAAGATGTTTTAAAACTAAATGTTGACATCTGTAGAAAAAATTGCCCAGTCCAGATGGCATTCCCCTTATATTTCTAAAGGGACTCAAAAGAGAAATTTTTACTGAGAAATGTGTAACATTGGCCTTCCTTCAACAAAAAAAGAAAGGTAGAGAAAGTTACCATTTTTTTAAAAGGCCTTCAGGGTGGATCCTGGCAAACATAGTCCAGTAAATCTGACTCTGTATTGAGCAAATTGAAATATATTAAGGAAAGTAGTTACATGCATGCAATATAAAATAATGGGGAAGAGCCAACTCGGCTTCTTGTGGAGGGAAATCATACCTCACAAATTTATTACTATTCTTTGAAGGAGTCCATGAAGTTGATCTGGTTATTACAGTAAGAGATGGGACTGTTCTACTGTATGGCATTGCCTTGCCAGACTCTTCTCATATTCTTAGGTTCCTATTTCTGCATGAAGTCATTTCAGGATGCTTGCCCTCAATTTATGAGATGTCATGAGTCTGTTCTACTGCATATCTGCTTCCATTCCTCCCTCAGCTCATAATTTTTATTCTCTGCCTATCTAATCAGTTGCATTACTACTTCCCCCCCCCACAGATTTAATCTAAAAGTAATTGGCATATATTCTTATCTGCCTTTCTACCCCAAAACTTCCAGTCTGTAATCAGTTTCATAATTTCTATTATATCCTAAAGTACCCACAAAATGATCCTATTTCCCTGTCATTATTACCAGCTCGTACATTTTCACTGTCAGCACACACTGGAAGCTATCTAATAGCTTCCTATGACTTCTTTTTTCTAACTGAATTGCAGTTTTTATTGGCAAAAAACACTGCATAGAAGAAATGAATGAACTGGAGAAACAGAATGACAAAAATGTAGTGAAATCTGATAGAACAAAGTGCAAGGACTAGAGTGTAGGGACTAATTAGAATTAAACACATAAACTGGTTCAGTAGTTGGAAATGACAGAAGAGTAGAAATATCTCCTTCTATTAATATGTCCGTAGATTATTGGATGCCAATTTGATGCAGACATGAAAAAGAATGAAGATTCTGATCCTACTGTTAAAGAAAGACAAACACGATCTGGAAGAGGTGAAGACCCAACATGATGACTATACAAAAAGGAATAAAAGTTGCTTGATTAATTGGCATAGTAAAATGAAGGCCAAAATGTGTTTCTCTCAGGGCCTTTCTGCTTTCTATATGGTGTTCACTGGACTTTTTCTTTAATGAATCTTCCTTTCTATTTTTGATTTATTCACAATCCAACCTGCTTTTATTTCTTCCATTAAACCACAAAAATTACCTGCTGACATTTCACTTCCTACCTATAAAACTGTATCAGCCCACTTTTGGGGATAGATATGAGTACTTTCTGACCTCAACTTTCCAGATCTCTAGTAAAATACTACAGGAATACATTTGTTGCTTTTCAAAATTTGTAAATTTTCACAAGAAAGAATTATTGCCGATGAATTACATACATCTAACATTTTTTCGTTTACTTTTTCACCACTGCTAGGGTTGGTGGCCACTTGTGTGTGTGGCTTCTTATAAATTCATACTCCAAAGCCTTTCAATTTGTTTTCACCACTTTTGGAAGGCTTTAAGATCTTCTCTGTTGTCCTGTGTTTTGTGTATCATTAAGAGATAGGCATTTCTTTCTGATTTAATGCCACCTTTAATCGTGTCACCAATGACAGTGTAACAAATTTCACTAAATGCTTCTCAGCCTTAAATTAGATGCAACACTGAAAAGACTAACACCTTTTATTATCAATGCTTGCTGTCTTTTCTGTTTATTCAGTGGTGTCATTTTGATTCAGTAATGTAGTTTTCATTCAATAGGTCTGGTATTAATTGCTAATGTCTCATAACATCTTTTTAATGTAGAATACATTTTTAAAAAGTGTTACCTCTTGAAAATATTCTTCAGCCATTTAAGAACATTACCTTGATTGGATCCCACTGACCAAAAGAACTTGGAAATTTATATGAGAGAAATAGCATCTTCTCTGCAAGTGGTAAACTGATTGGGTAACATTTCTCAAAAATGCTTTCACGATTTTCTGTTAGAGATTTCAGCTTGCTATACACTTGGTAGCGCACGACATGAGGCTTCCGTCCTCCATTGATCTCAATTGGTGGTATTAATAATTTTTCAAGTTCTTCCTGGTTATGAAAACATAATGAAATATTAGAATCATAAACACAATCAGATTTATAATAAAGACTGACAGCAAGATTTTCTGTCAACTATCAAGGATTTCTTGAGCATGTTCTCAGTCACCATAATCAGCAAAATTTGATTTGAGAGGAGAATTGGTCTTCCTGCCCTCTGAAGTTTAAACTACCCAGTACCCAGTATATATTAAGTATCATACAATCAGTGGATAGAATCTGAATCATGATTTAGTTTCTTCCTGAAGTAAGATACTTAGTACATAGTAAACAAATGTTACCCATCTGCTCACTGCTTTAGATATGGCATTATCATTGCAGACATCTAACATTAGATGAGGTTACCTCACCATAGGTAACTGATTTCAAGAAAATTATGTTACTAGGAACTGTATTAAAAAATAGAGCTGTCTAGTAAGACTTTTGTCTCAAAAATTATTTTGAAATACTGTTTATATATTTATAACTCTCTAGTTTGGTTGCCTGTATCAACTGACTTATCAAAAAGGAAATAAGGACACCAAGACTGGGTAGGCCTGACCAAACGTTTCCTTTTCTCCCCCTATGATATAAGTCATATAAATTACATACTCTATAAAGTCTATGCCTTCTCAGTACAGCCTTCCTCTTGCTCACATATTTAGATCATGAGTACAGCAGCACAGTTGTTTAAGCACTATAACTTCTAAATGTGAAAAATAAACTTGAAAATTCTTCTTGCATTATGTGATCATATCATTGAAAAAAGTAAGCAGTGGTATCAGTACCTGTACACTTTGTAATCTCTCTACTTCTGAATCAAACTTTTCTGCAATTTCATTTTGCATGCGTTCAACAGCCTCTTCTTCATCTTCTTCTTCTTCTGCTTCTTCTTCTTCTTCTTCTAAAAACTCTTCTTTAAGTATAGCTTCAATTTCTTCATTTTTATTCTCATCCTCCTCCTCAGTGGCTTCAAGATTCTCCTCATTTGCTAGAGCCTATAAAGGCAAAATATTTTGTTGTTTCATGTCTCTGATACAGATGAAGGAACATATGGCATTCTTGTCTCTTTTTGAATTAGAAAAATCATTAATTAAAAAAACCCTGATTTTGGGGTATCCTTTATTGTAAGCAAAAATCTAGTAGATCCTAGAATCTTATTTCAGAAGAAAATACAGGGGTATTGCGTCGTGCATACAGTGAAGCATTGTCAAAAACGCAGTTTTGGTAAGAGGTGTATTTTTTTCATATGTGGTATTGTAGTTTGACAGGACTTTGTTTTAAACAGGCATGTTTACTGAAAGTGTAGCTGACAGAATTTCTTGAGCAGTCAAGTAGTACATGAATATATTTATAAATATACTATGTAATTGACTTTGGGCAGAAATTCCAGTACAATCCTATTCTGGATTGACCCTGGATTTGACAGGGTACTTAAGGCACATGCCTAATCCAATTAATGGGGCTACTCTTATGGTCACCAATTAGATTCATTAAACACATTCATAAGTATTTTGCTGACTTGGAGCACATATTGAGAATTCTTTTTAAATTGTTTTTAGTCTTCATGAATCGTTTTTACAACAAATTCAAACATCACATCAAAGTATTTTTGAAAGTAGAAGCTTCTTCACAGTCTATCCCATTTTTACTATTCTACATTGTCCGAAGTCTTTGACTAAAAATTTCTAAGGGATGAATGCAAACACTTCTATCTAAAATCTTTCTTATTAGCTTGTTTTCTTACCTCCTGTTTCTTTTGTTTTCGTTCTGCTAAAAGTTCTTCCCTTCTTTTAGCAATCTTCTCATTCTGTTAGTGAAAAAAAGATGTAAGAAGACTGATATTTGCTAATAGAAGGTCTCTGAGAATTGGTAACGTGGCCTGTATTTAACGTCGTTCTTTCCACCTTGAAATTCTATTTCCAGTTGATTCTAATGTTAAAAAATACTACCTACAGTTTGAAATTTTGCAGACCAGATATACCTCTCTACTAAGCAAACATGTAATTTAATTTTAGTAAAACTAATTTGGCAACTTTTGAGATTGACATTAGAGGAGGAAAAAATACTGTGTTCTTATCACACTGAAAATATAGTAATATTTTTATTGGTTAACTATAGAGTTCCTGAACTTATAGGTGTTTTCTGTCATTTGGCAAAGGGGTGACTGAAGACAGTATTAAATGTGTGCTGTTCCCTTTGACAGTTTAGTGATGTTAATGGTATTGTATGAGTCTTGTCCCAAATTCCATTGTCCTAACTTCCTATGTTTCAGTTGCTCTGTAGTAACTTATATTCAGACTTTTTCTGATAGTACATGTGAAGTACTTTATCTCACTTTTATAGAAAGTTAATAATCTTGAATATATTACATGTACCAATTGTAAATGTTTGCATAGAGGCTTCAGGTTACTTCAAGTAATTTGTAACTTTATCGACAGTAGACACGGCGTTGTTTGAACGGGAGACTGTGCAGCCACAACAGCACTAGAATGTGGCTTAGAGCTATTACATTTCTGTGCAGAGTATCATAGATGGAAACACAGACACACACCCACACCATACACTCCCTCCATCCAGTTGCCTTTTGTCCAGGACTTTCCAGATGTCTGGCATTCTGTCAGACTGCCATTTGTTTGGCAGCACAGCTACTTCTCTTGGGTGCAAGGTAGCTAAACTCCTTCATAAATTAATTGCAGAGAAGAGGAAAGGAGCTCTAAATTATTTTTCATTCTTATGGTAAGTCTGGGAGCGCTATGAATGTGTTGGACTGTGTCTCCTGGCTCCCATATCTGTTACTCAGTGTGCTCTTCACAGCTTTGGGAGTTTCAGAATCTATATTTAGACCTATGCTGTTGAAACAACAACAAAAAAAAATGTAGGACTGAAAACTTACCCTCATTTTTGTTTTCAGGTCCTTCAGCTTCTTTTTATATTCCTTTTTTTTATGCTGTTTGTCTTTCCATTTTTTCAGACGTGGAGGAAAAAGACGCTCAAGAATGTCACTGTCTTCTACTTGAATATAAACTGCGACATCAGGACAGAGTCCTCGTTCTGACAAATATTTGGCTTCATCTGCAGTACGAGGGAAACCATCCAGTATAAAGCCTGTGGACCTAATTGGAAAATGAGATATTTATCACTACACAGTGTAGTTTAAAGTGCAACACAATGAACTATCAATGAACTATCTTGCATTGGCCTCTTTAGTCACCAGTGCGCTTGTAGAAAATGTGGGTAGAGCCCTTCCCAAATCTTTGTTCACGAAGCCTAGCCATGATGATGATGATGAGAATGAACATGTAATTATTTTGAAAAAAACCCCAAAGCCTCCCATGTTAAATGCATATGTTAAGAGTAAAATTTAAAAGATACTTTCAGCTACTATCTTTTTACAATGTAAAACTGATATTTCAGTATGTATTTTAACTACGCACTTAAAAATTAATTTCTTCCAAGGTTTTAATGTGCAAAGCTTAATTATTTTAAAAGAACATAAAAAAACCAAAATAAATTGTGTCTTCAGACTTGCTTGTGTAAATCTAAAACCAATATTTCTTAGGTACTGCTCTCAAAAAAACATTATTGTTACCCAAACATTATTTGGGTAACAATTGCCAAAGAAAGCTTGTGCCTGAAAATTTATGTTTCAGAAATATGCCTGACAGTTTCTCCTCTAGTATAAGATGAGAAATTTGCTACTCAGCGTGACTTAGATCTGTCTTCCTGCAGATATTAAAAACAAGACAGATATGCCTGGAAACCTCTATGGCTTGTTGGACCTCTTACAATTTCAAATTAGATGAGTAGTTATGTAAGGCTGAATGTGTGTTGATAAGAAGTGAATATTTATTTTTATTACTTTAGACCTAAATAGGATACATTGTAAAATTGCAAAAAAACAAAGAAGCTACAAGGAGTGGAGGGAAGAATAGGTAGCCCTAGATGCTGTGTGAAAGGAGTGTGTAACATAGTGTAGTGTAGTATAGTATAGTCTAGTGTAATGTATTGTAATGTGATATAATACAATATAACATCACAACATCATGTGTAATGCTGGGTAATTTTTAGTCTTGGTGCATTCTTTTTTTCCTAAAACTGGTGTCCTTGTTTTTACACCATTTGGAGAATGTCCCCTATCTGTGGTCTGACAGGATAAAAATAACATAAAAATATAAAAGGTTTGTTTACATATCTATCCTGTAAGACCATGAAAACTAACCAGCTATTTAGGAGATTTAATCCAATTCAAGTGTGCTAAGTACTTTTGTCCAGAACTGCGTACAGCATATGAGACATGATATTACTGTCAAAATATCAATCAAAATAGTACAACAAAACCAAGACTGAGAGGTAGGCCATAACTCATAAAAAGTACAAGAGCATTGAAATAATCTCTGGGATAGTTATTTACAATTGTGGACCAAATGGATGATATACTTCCCAAGATTAATTAAAGAAAAAGAGAACCTAATTACAGTTACCGGAATGGCTCTTTCTTCCACCAGTCAAAAGCAATGTTATCAAGGACTTCTGGAGGCAGTTCCTTACTATCCATTAGATTTGCTTTGATTGCCTCTTCCTCATCAGTTAACACCTCTTCCTTTATGTAAAGAAAATCAACTGGAAAATGAAAAACATACCCCAAGAGAACAAACAAAAAAAAACCAGAAAGAAAGAAATATCTACTTGACACATGTATTGGTTTTTGGCTAAGTAAGGTACTGTCTTCATTTGACTTAAACCGGGAGAAACAAACTCATTTGTCACGTTTTATCATACTACATTACACATTTTAGGTAAGGCCGTAGAATTAGGGCAATTGCTGCTGCATGAGTTTTCATAAAACCTAAAACCAAGCACAACAGTTAAGTATTTAATTATACTTATGCTCAATTCAGAGGAATAGAAAGTGAAATGAGCATAGTCTCTCCTAGATGCCTACAAGAAGTTTTCCACTTAGTTATACATGTCTTCATGCTGGAAGACTATCTGCACTACACCAGAATGTTTTTTCACCTTTTAAAAGCAACTCTTTTAATGCAATCCAAAAAAACATGTTAAAGAAGGATATATAAGGTTATTGGGTACAGGCACAGGAACAGATACCAGACAGATGGCATTGTTCTACAGAATAGTAGTAATATTAATGACTAATCAAGTGCAGAGCATTCAAATACCAAATCTAGCTACTAACTTCTGGTGAAAAACTGTTGGTTTTTTTTTTTTCCAGAATATGAAACACTGTAAGATTGATTTGGATGAGTATGCAATTCTCATAGAATGGCTTCCTGACACAGACTGTGGTAAAAAAGAATGAAAAGAGGGTACAGATTGGTGCCTCTGGATGAGTTTACATAAGTCATGATACTAAAACACACATTTTTACAAGAAGACTGAATAAAACGCAATATTAAAGTCAGAAAATATCACTGTTCCTGACCTGCTGTGTTACTTTTTTTCATGGTAATATTCACAGAAGAAAATACTGATCCAAAGTGATTCAGGAACCTCCAAAATGATGGTAGGGAGCTGCTTGCTGCAAAGCCATGTCTGAATAAGATGCTGACATCTATTTTGATAATGTAGCCAAAAGAACTTGAGAATATGTTGGAAGTCACAGGTTTAATGTAGTGTGTGTGTTAGTAATAGTTTCTCTAGTGTCTCAGATAGCATATATATTAAAAGATGTTTGTATGACAGAAGATACCTAGGAAGACAAAAGTGGTAGCCAGATCTGTAATACGGAGACATCTTGAAAGAAATGTGTGAAGTGGGAGAAAACAGTAAAACACATATAAAAATGTATCACTGACATCACCACTGCCAATGAGCTGTTGGAATGGCATTTGTATCTGATAAAAGAAAAGAAACACAAGACGTATATTCCAGGTACAGAAGAGAACACCCCACTTACTGGGGATTTGAAGGACAAGGTTGGCCCCCAGACCAACCTGTGAAGGCTTTGTCTGATATATATTAAAACAACCAAGATAGTATCTTTTTGGTAAACTTCCCAGACTGCATGGCACGTTTTCTTTGCCTTTAGTGGTCTTGCTTTGAATGTTATAGCTGACCTTTACCTTAAGCTTTGATAGATACACTTCTAGTGTCTTGTGCCAAAGTGAAAGAGAATGATACAAATGGAATTAAATGAAATTTTGGAGAGGTGGTGGCTCGGTGAAAAAACGGGATAGTCAGACGGTCCAGTGGTACTCATACTCAGAGAAATGCTTGAGGAGTCCACAATCTTGGAAATTATCCTCTAGAGTTTTGTGCATGGACCAATGAATGTATTTCTAAACTGAACTGAAACTGTATCACCTGTGCTTAGGTCATGCCATCAGATAAAGTACTTTACAAGAAATATGAGAAAAAAAATACTAATGTAGAAGATTGTTTACCTGCAGATATAAAGATGACAAGCAAAAAATACTAACAAATAGTGCCTTGGTGTCAGACATATTGACGCCAAAAAAATAAAGCTGAGTGAGAGTCAGCCATAACCATTAGTGCCAGGAACACTTGCCATATTTTTGGCTATGATGAACAAGTTGTAACCTGATTTGCCAAATTTCAACTGATGAAAACCTGAATTTTTGTTCTGACATCTGTGATTTTGATCTGTACTCCGTGTTGAAGCATTTCCTTCCAATATTACCTGCTCTTGCATTATTTCATCAGAATACTACCTCCCAGTTAACAGGGACCTGCTCTGCTTTTCAAGACAATACAGTGGCCTTGAATGCACCGTTGGCAGCTTCCTCAGCACCTGTGAATGCACTCCATGGACTTGTATATGTCCAGTTTACAAAAAGAATCCCAAATTTGATCCTATTCTGTTGTGAGCAGTACCACTTTTTACTCATGCTTTCCTATTAGACACAGAGACGTAGAAGGCCACAGTAAAAAAGGCATTGGGCATCTCAGCCTTTTCAGTATTGAAAGGTCACATGCCTAGGTGGCAGACTTATATTTTCTAGACCTTCCTTTTACTACTGTTATTCTGCAGAAATTTTTCTTGTTACCCTTCAGATCCCTCACTAGTTTACAGTTCCATGGAGTGCTCATCTTCCTAATACTGTGCCTGAATGTTGTTTCTGTAGCCTGCTTCCTCTCCTGCATGCTTCCTTAAATCCTATAGCAGGAAATGTTTGAAGATCTTTGATGACTAGCTAGTAATGTGACGGAACATGGCAGGTATCAGGAGCACACACCAAAAAGAAAGGCTCTTAAAATGTGATGCAGAAACTTGTTTCTTCCTCAAGCTTTGAGAGTTGGATAAATACTTATTTCTATTGTCTAGGAAGTAGTTTTCAGTTTCTTTATACTACCCATTTCTTGAAAGATTTATATGCTGTGTACATGTGTTGGAACTTGAACACATATATCCATTGCTGTCTAAAGAAGAATTCATTTGCATTAAAAGCTTAAGGGTTTTTTCCCCAGAATATATCACTGCCTAATAAGAGCTATCATTCTCCCCTGATAAACATTTATGTAAATGTTTGTTCTTCAGGCAAATTACATCGTCTAAGAGATGGGGTTTATAATTTTATAGGAAATTCCTATTCTGGCCTGAAAATGGTTATTTTGTGTGTGGACATAAAAAGATTATTATTACCTGTTTGCTTTTTTCTGTCTCAGTTTTAGTAATTGTCTGAGAGAAGTCTTCTAGTTCCTCTGATAGGACTGGTATTTTATTGTCATCTTCTTCATGTTCTTCATCAAACTGGGGCCCAACTTTCCTTCTAGTTTTGGGTAAGATCAATTCCTGTAGATATTCTTCAAACTGAATATGAAAAATGCCTAATTTGTCTGCTATCTGTCGTGCACAAGTAGTTTTACCTGCTCCATGAGTCCCAAGTAAACACACCCGTAAAGGAGGAGCCTGTAGGAAAAAAATTGAATATTACGTAACATTTTGGAGTGTACAATGCATCTCCTACTGTTTTTAACTTCCAAAGTATCATAATAAAAATTCCAAAACCAGTCCATAATTATACATTTTCATTTTTCCAGACTTTCTATTGCTGTTCCAACCAGACTACCTGCTTTCTGGAAACACTGAACAAATACACTACAACAGTGGATGTCAGAAACTTCATTAGAGAATTCTGGTAAATATTCCCTTCTTTTACCCTTCTTCTACTTACAAAAAAAAAGAAAAGATAATAAAAAGCCCCCCAATATGTGTAATCTGTTAATCACATTTTAAGATTAGTGTAAGTCTTTATAATCTTCCTCTTTTCTGCTATATTTGCATAATTAATTCAATGTGTTAATTTAAATGTACACTAAAAAGTCACTAGGGAAACCATATGTTTTATTTCCTTCAAGGACTTGCCTGTTACCTAGAAAAAAAAATCAGCAATAATAAACAATTCCAAATGGGAATGAAAAATAGTGATTTTAGTGATTTTAATCTGCTATTATCTACTTTAAATAATTATGAAGATTCTCACTTGTATCGGTTCATTGTGAGCCACATATTCTTCAGGGTTCTTCAAAAATTTATCTCTGTACTCAGAACTTGAAAAGTAATAAATATTTTCTTTATATTTAGCTGCATGTTCCTGGAGTCCAGGGTGGAGGACAAAGTGCTCTTTCAGACTGACTGGACAAAAGTGTTTTGTATCTCCCATGTGCCTTTTCTTTTGCTTAATTGTTTCTTCATCCTGAAAATATGAAAATTTTCAAAAACTCTTAGAATTCAGTAGTTTACGGAGATTAAGTAGATCAAGTAGATCAGATAAAGTAATGCCAAACACATTAACTGAGGACTGAATGAGTACTGTATTCTCAAAGTAGTTTGTAAGCCAAAAATAAATCTATGAAAATACACACTTTTTAGATTCTGAGTCAGAAAACAAACTGTCCAAGAGAATTACTGAGAACAGAGTTACCATTTTAAATTTGAAATTATAATATCGTAGTTAGCTGTGGAAGACCAAAACTAGGGTAGAAGTATCTATAATAAAACATTTTCCTACTGTGTTCTTGAAACTGATTTTCTCTTGCTTCTAAATGTAGACCTCTTCAGAAAAGACAATGAGAGCTGGTGTTATGAAGTCAGATTACTTATCCAATAAAATTAATTTCTAAAAAATCTATTCAATACTGCGTTACTACAGCATATGGATATCCTGTACTGTTAAATTTGAGGATGGGAATCTTCCAATATAGGATGAAAATAAAAGAAAGACAAAGCTAGACTTCTAATTTCATTAAAGTGGGTGTGTGAAAATTATCAATAGCTGAGATGAAACAGGGGATTGCACATTAGGACTCTGCATCTTCTGATGTTTACATGATGGCTCACAGATCATTGTTAGTTGACAGAAATCAAAGTTCACATTTCTTTCTTTAATAAAACTCCTCTTTGCCATCTGGCAAAACTAGGTACATTCATTCTCTCTATTAGCACAGGGGATATTTAAGCTTCTTGCTGCAGTAAAACATAGACAAAACATAGAAATACAACGAAAGTGTTCTTGAAGCATATGCTAGTATTTATTCTGTAAGAAGGCTTAAACTGGATCATACAAAATCAGGTGCAAAATATAACTTCTCTGGGGTTATGTTCAAACTGAAAATAAATAAGTTACAATAAAAGCATAAATAGATAAAGCTGGCACGCTTACTTCTTCATTTTCTTCTTCCTCTTCTTCAACTTCTTCTTCATCTACCTCATTTTCTTGTTCAGCAGCCAGATCTTCTGCTTCCTCCGCTAAGTCTTCAGCAGATAATTCCCAAACGTGATACTTAAAAGGTTCTGAAAAGGTTAGGGTTTTTCCTGTTTCAATATTTTTCATTTGTTTGTGCCAGAGTAGATTCTCCATCCATAAAAGTGAGTGCATATGTGAAAGAAAATAAAGCCAACTGTATATTGCATTTCTTCTACTCATAGAACAAAATGTTCTCCCCAGATGTAGTAATTAGTAAATTGCCTCCTCCAAAAATGGAAATTCTACTGGTTGTTTTTGGTTGAAGTAAATTTGTATTTTCAATGGGAACTTGTATTACAAAAGTATTATACAAGCACATGCAGATAGGGACATTACTGTTTTCAACAAGTTTTTTGTTTTGTTTTTTTGGTTCTTAGTTGGTGGGAAAAATCATCACTTAAATTTTAATTGATTATAAAGCCAGCACAATAGATGTCATGGTTAATAAAACATTTCCATTGTAGTAATGATAGGAAAAATGTAATATTAATATTATTTATCCAGTGCTCAAAATTTTAAGAGATTTGAGCACACGAGTGAAGGAATGTACTTTGCGGAAAAAAAACAACAACAACAACAACAAATTCAGTGTAAAATTCAGTCTTGAAATACAGTCTGTGCAGGTGGGTAGGTTAGATTAGTATACATTAACCCAGTGAATATTGTACATTAGTGAACCTTCAATATCTGTCCGTTTCTCAAACCAGTATCCTGACATGAACAGAACAGAGCAAGTAACTGGGGAAATGTGCTGTCAGAATGTTTAGGGAGCTATAATGTACACATTTGCATAGCCTATCTCTCTCTCTATATATATTTCAAACATACATATTCCTTACTCTTCCTATGTCTTAAAGGCTGCTATTGTGCTTTTCAGCTGACCCTCAGAACACAGCATGAGCCATTTCACGCTAGTAATATCAAACTGAGTATAACCTAACCCCCAATTTATTAATCACATAAGCTCTCCAAAATCCCCCTTGACAGTTTAAGTGCCAATCACATAGACAGTATTACTTACTTTCCATAACCAGCACTGCTTGATTGAGCAGACTTTCTGGAGTTTGCTCAGCGATCTCTAGAACAACAACTTGAACTAGAGATGAGTTCTTGATTTCTGATTCCACTGTTTGCCAATCATGCATGAAAAGTTCAATCTTCTTTTTAATTGTATCCATTTCTTGTGTATCTGGAAAAGCATCCTCTGCAAACTTGGGTAGCGTGATTTCTGAAAATCAAATCATATAATAGGCAATGCTCCTCTAAAATGTTTTACATTTAAAAATTATCCTTATGCTTTAGGATTATTTTTATTTTGCTCAAATATGGTGGCATATTTTTTTAAAGCTTCTTCTCTCCCATAATTATGAATTATTATATTAGTATTTTACAAAGACACTTTGTAAACTCCCAATTTAACTATGTTGATGTTGTATATACTGAGCCATCTCTAGGAAAATAAACGAAGTCAAATTGCTTAACTGTATTTCCATATGGTTATTTAAATCATCTCTCGGATAAATATAATGACTCCTTCTCCAAAGAAATACAATATAGAATACATTAATTTAAAAATTATGATTTAATGATAACAGCTTTTGACAAGCTATCCATATAGTCATGCCTCATGCAAGCATAGGAAAAATAAAGAGTAGGAAAACTAGCATACACTGCAAAGAAGCAACCTCATGTTCTGACCTGGTTCAGGTTCCTGTACTGAAGCTGTTGTGGAGTGTTCAGGTTGTGTGTTAGGTATTTGTTCTTTTTCAAGTGGAGCACGTTCTCTTTATAGGACTAGAAATATAATACTACTGGGTGTTATTTCTCTATGGCATCTCAAGATACAGATATTAATGAATTAAACCTTCATTTATGCAAACAACAGCACATAGATATATAAAGATCAACATAGCAAAATATCGCAGAGGAAATAGAAGATTTAGAGGAAAAAGGAAAAAGAAAGGACTAAAAGAGAAGGCCAGTGTAAATATCAAGGATATGAAAGAAGGTATTGAAGACTGAAATCCTAAATTGATAAAGGCAAAGCAGTGAGCTAAAACACTAAACCATGCAGTGTAAGATTTCTTAAACCAATTACAACTGTGGGACTGTTCTGTGCAGGGACAGGAGTTGGACTCAATAATCCTTGTGGGTCCCTTCCAACTGAAGATATTCTATGATGCCTCTATCCATAACTAACAAATGAGGCAAGACACACCCACAAAAAGCAGCCTAGGGAACCGAGCAACCAGGAGCGCTGCAAATAGAGCATGGTGCATCAGCTGGGGCATGGCACAGCTGTTTGTGCAGCAGTTTGTGTGGCAGGGCACGCAGGGGGGGCACAGTCCCCCCACCAGCTCAAGAGGTGAGTTCAATTGGTAGTCATCACCCTCTTGGAGCTTAGCTACAATGTCTACCGGGTAAAAAGCTATGTCCTCTGCACTCATCAGCATGGATGTGGCAACCCAGACAGAGCCCTGGCACTGGTAACATGAGAACAGCTGTGTAAGGTGCAAACAGGTGGATTATGTGCTCGGCCTGGTGGCAGAGCTATGAGAGGAGGTGGAAAGGTTGCATGAGGGACTCTCAGAAAGAGTGCTACAAGTGATAGGCTCTGGCACGTCCCACAGCCAGAGACTTAGATGTGGAAGGCCAGTCAACAGCTAATGTGAAGGTCCATCTACACCAGAGATGTTGGCAGGGTCAAAGGCCTACCCCCTGTATCCTGACCACCTCCACAAGGAAGACTAGTGGAGTGGTCTTCCATTGGATTATAGTGGTAGGCAACAGTGTGGTGATGCTGCTATTCCCACTTCCTGCACTCATATAATTTTCAACTCTGATTTTCTTCTTTTTCTTACCATTTTTTCTTTTGTGTTCTGTTTAATAAGTCTGACATTAATGCCTTAACAGAGAGAAAAGCAGTTGAGAACAATTACTTCAATGGTCTGATTTTACTATAAGTTTGCTGGGACATAGTGTGTGTTGTGTTTGTCCCTTGCCAGAAATGAAGATGCAAGAGAAACCTTGAGCAGCAGATGGAGTGATTTTCTACTTTGCTATAATTTTCCCATTCTCTTGATGGTTCTGTCTTGAGTTTGAAAGAGCAGATACAGATTTTGACACAAATAACAACATATGCAGTCTATTGCAATGAACTTTTATGATTTTTTAAAAATAAAAGGATCATTACTACTATTTTTCCTTATATAACTTCCTACACATACAAAGGAAAGGTATTACTACAAATGAAAGTCTTACACAATGCCTTGTATGTTAAAAGATTTGACTACTTTCTCATAAATACAACCCCTCAAAGTATTAAAAACTCAATGTTTTATGGTTCCTCCCTGGCATTAAGCAGGCCAACACTCACTATGTCAAATTGCAGCACTAATATTCATTTTGAGTTTGTCCTAACCTGAAGAATCCAAACAATTTTTCTGTCTTATGAAGAGTTAGATTGCCCTGTTAATATTTTCTTCATTAAGAAAACTAGTATTTCCTCCTTGGGGATTGTTGAAGAAATGCACAAATGACACATTTAGTTTTCCATAACAAAGGCAGATAAAAAAATGCTAAGTACAATGTAGCTGGATTTCAGTGATTAGGTACCAAGAAGATTTGGCAGGAAACAAGACTAAATACAGTGGTCAAAGTAGATATGATGCCTAATTTTTGTCTGAAATGCTACAACTAAAGCATCACCTGGAATAGCTGGGATGTGTGAGCACCTGCAGGACATATGTAGCATTTTTCTGACTTGGATGGCTAAGCTATTCATGAAGGTATTGTAACAAAGGGCAGTGCCACTACTGTCTCTAGAAGAAAGCAAGCCAGTGCCCTGCCTCCAGGGCTTTAATTGACAAAGAGGTAAAGTTAAGGATTTCCATTCTTTTGTAATTGGCCAAATTTAAAAATATATAGGATGTCAAATACATGCCTTGTTTTGACATCCCTTAATGGCTCACTAAGGTTGGCCCCTTGCTAGTTTGCTACTTGTTGTGCCTATTTCTACAGCTCTTTAGTCCATATTTGAAATCAGGCACTTAAAATTAGTATGGCAGTTTTGGGTACTGCAATGTCTACATCTTCTTATGGGTCTGGATCTCAATGTGTAGTCCTCCAATACTAAATTTCTAAATACTTCAGTGCTTTTAATAATTTTATTCTTCTACTTTTGAGGCTGAAATTTTTATTCTCTCAAATTACCTCTACTATATATATGATAAACTGAGATTTGAAATAAGTCAGGTGCTCTATAGCAATTCATATGCTGGCTCACGGACCTGAGGGCACTCCTAGGCCTGGCTGTCTCCATGTGGCCCCGGGGGCTCCCCTAACCTGCAATGCTGCTGCTGGGCCAATCTACAGCTCCTGACAGCCCTGCCCAGCCACGGGCGCTGAAAAGCTGGGCCAACCCACAGGCTGACATCCCAGCCTGGCCTCAGCTTGTTGCTATCCCCAGGGAGCTGCTAAAGCCGAGGGCCAGAGCTACCCTGCTCCTGGCTAGTGCAGTGTCCAGATGGCCATGCTACCACACTGTCCAGCCAGCTCTGTTCCTTTGGGAGCAGTTTGCCGTCTCAGTGTCTGACATGTTGCCCCCAAAGGTGAACTGCAAAACTTTATTAACAAATAAGCATTTTGTTATGTATTTTTGCGATCTTTAATAACAAAGAATACTTAATGCCTTTCCCCCTTTCTTTAAAGCTTGAACAACACAGCTATCAGATTGATGCCTCAGTGGCTAACCTTCCTCCTGTTTGAAGGATTATTAGTCTAAACATAAACTAAAAGTGCAAAAGGGCATGTCATTAAGCAGAAACACTTTGCAAATTTCAAACAGTCTGACCTTGAATTAAAATGTATTTTTTTTCTTGAAAATGTTTATGAACATTTGCATCTTACTAAACTACACTTTCATTCTATATATATCATTACTATCCTCTTCAGTGACATTTTTCTCTTGTTGTGACTTTAAAGAGGAAACTGAAAATACCTTTTTATGTGCTTTAAAAAAAATGTTGTGTAAATGGTACCATTAATTATGTTGCATTCTGCAGTGATGTATTCCAAGTGAGACAGAGATGTAGCCAGGTAAAACCTGCTTAAATTTGAGCAGCTCTAATGCAATATGTAATGATGACTCTACTAGGAACACAGATTTTAAGAAAATAAGCAAAGGATACATTAATAACTAGGTTATGCTAACTGCTTGTTACACGTGTTATCCCTGGCACAGTCACACTGTAGAAATCACATGTGGTGCCTTGTGAACCACAGCCCTATTCACAGCAATAACACATGGAAGACAGGGATGAGGGCTGTCTGGATCTAGCTTTCAACAGATCATTTCTTATAGTTCAGCCCTTTAAAAACCTCTCAGTTCTGAGTAGGTAACGAAACTTTGGAAATATATAGGCAGAATAATGGATTTAAATGAATATTTGGCATCATCTGAGACACAGTGTTAAGCATGGTAACAAATCCACTCAATAGAATGCTTCCCATTAGAAACTTTATCTCAGAAGCACACCTCTCCTGATACAATATTTAGCAAATGATGGGCCAGCATGTGATCCAGCTTTGTTTTGCTACTGTAGGCACATAATTCCATCAGATTACCTCTATCTGGGAGGGTTTTTGCTTGAGAAAACATATCCAGCAGCAATTATTGCATACTTACAGAGTTTTTAAATAGATTACCCAGGCCGAAGTGAATTGGAGAAACTTTCCCCTCAAAAGAAGGGAGAAGTAACAAAAGAGAAAAGGCTTACATTCCTAGGGAAAAGGGATAACCCAAAAATCAGACAATCCAAACCTTATTTAGTTTTGGTTCAGGTATTTGAACCTTATTATGACAAAAATGTTTCCTCCTTGGCATTTAGTTTGTTTCAAACTTGGTCTCAGGTACCGAAAAAAAAGAAAATATTTTTCTGTAAGGCAACTGTACCTTTGTCATTAGGTGTAAATTATAATAATTCTGCTTGGAGAGATTATTTATGCTGAGAAGATATTTTTAAAGAAATTAAAAACATAGTCAAGAAAAACCCTTGAAAAGACAGTAATGGTTTTAAAATAAATGACATAAAAATACAAACAAGTTTCTTTCCAAGAAGTTGGTGGTCCATCTAACAGTGCTGTTCTTAATTTCATTTCCTTATCACAGAGGTGATAAGAAACAATCCTTCCCAGCCTTAAATCTTGGGCTTTCATAGGTAATGCCTA